TCTTCTTCTTCTTTTTGTTATGATTCTGACAAAAATTACGATCCGTGTTTTTTTTTTTTTTTTACAAAAAAAAAATTTTTTTTTTTTTTTTTTTTTTTTGAGTCCATTTATATTAATGTTAAGTTTTATTTTTCTTTATGCATAACGTCTTTATTTAACAATAAGTTAACATGATTATTAAAAAGAAAAGAATGTATTGATATTCGAGAGAATGAAATTATAATTATTAATTAAGCTATGATTGACTATGCATGCCTATTTAATATTTTGACTCTTGAAATTTAACAAAAGAAGAACCTAAACTAATACCTGTCCGATTTAGCTCGTGTTAAACCTATAAGGACATTTTAGTTAATGAAATTAGCAGAAGCCTAAAATGATGTGCAGTTGAAGTGAAAAATTTTTTCAAGTATTTTATTTATTTCACTGTAGTTACTAAATACATAGCTTGACTTTACATGTACTAGTAGGTCGTGATGAGCGTGAAATAAGTAAATAAGATAAATGGATTATTGTTTTTCTACTACATTATGTTTTATGTAGGACTTTATTATGAAATATTTAAAAAATGGCACTGATCAATAGTGAAAAACTTGTCGTTACATTCTTATGTTTATTACTAGAAGAAAAATAATATGTCATTTGAAAGACTGACATGAAGAGTTATGAAATAGTCTGTACATTTAAAAACTAGTATGCTCAAAGACAAGAAATTTATATATGAATGTAGAGCAAAAAATGTTGTTTGAAACAAACTAGTTTGTCTTTTACAAAACACACTGGTTTCAAGAACAACACATTGACTAGAATTCTTTTTCTGTTAGATAATGTATTTGAAACGTATTCGATTATACCGCTTCTAAGAAAATCAATACAAAAAAATAGCTGTAGTGATGATCATCATTAGGATGTGATTGATAAAACACTTGTGCTGCAATAGAATATGCAGTATTTATAATGAATGATGTTCAATAACCATAGAAATAGTTGTTTCAATGTTCTTTCCCATTATGATTTTTATTATACATTATTTAACAGATCATTCGTTAACTAATATAATCAAATTATATTTTCATGTATCATTACAAATGGCATCGTTTTTCTTTTTAAAACTATAATCATGTCGTCTTTGTTTCTATGGATATCTAAATTGATTAGTCATCTTCTTCATAAATGAATTAATTTATCCAACTAATTTAATTGTTTCAACAAGAACAAAAATCACTGTTAACAATAAATTGAACAAAAAACAAAAAAAAAAAGAAAAACATTGAACGGACGCATTAAGAAAAAAGTTTAAGATGAACGACTTTTACGTTTAGTTGCCGTTCGATTAGAACGTATAATTGGCATTGATATTATGGTTGATGTTTGAGACATTGTTAACCATGGATGTGTACTAACTTGTTGTATATTAGGTCGTTTTTGCCAATCATATGTAAATATATTAAGAATAAGATTACGTGCTGATTGTTCGCGTTCATTTTCATTTGGCCAATGCAATTGAAGTTTTTGATGCTAAAACAAAAAAAAAATAATATTTTTTCTGTAAAGATGCCCCGATTCAATGTTTATTCAATTGTTTAATATCTTCTGTGCTGGTATTGAACTGAGTTTCGAGAGTACACGCAGAAATCAGCATAGGGGTCAATTCCTTTCATGACTCAAAATTTTTGTTTTCTTATGGCTATTGAATAGTCTGAAGGGAGATCAAAAAAGTTCTGCGAATTTTAAAAAGGAGCATGTCGGATTTGATGATCTATTCAGAATTAAAAAAAAAACAAAACATACCATGCTGTAGAACAAGTCAAAGGTGTGTCGAATGGTATATAACAAATCTTGTTTTTATAAGATTTTGAAGAAAACAGACTGGATTTACTGGTAGACAATCATCGAGTGAAAGCACTGACTATTATGGGCCTTGGTATCAGTCGAAAGTGTTTGTAAAAAATAATTTTTCTATATACAGTTTTGTGGTGCTTTTCACGGGCTACAAGCTCATATACTCGGCATCTACGATCATCCTATCTTTGATAGGGAAAAATGCGTGTTTTCGATGATTCACCATCGTTTTCCACGAGTAGTAGCTGTTGGTGAGTCTTTGAATACATGGGGCGTCTACCAGTAAATCTAATATGGTTCTCTCAAAGTCTTATGAAAACAAAATTTGTGATATACCATTCGACGCACGTCGACTTGCTTTACAACATGGTGTGTTTGGTTTGTTAATTCCGCACAGGTTACCAAACCCGGAATGGTCCTTTTTCAAATTTTCAGAACTTTTTGATCCCTCTAATACATCTATATTTTGGGATGAATGATAACTTTCACTCTACTCATCAAGATCTACCTGCCCTGAAAATTTCAAAACTTTCTAATAAGTTGTTCTCCGTAAAAGGATATCCATAAAAATAAAAGATCAAAGGAAAACAAAAAACCAGCAAATTTCGAACAAACTTGTTTTAAAATCAATTGATTATTTTTATCTTCTTTAAATGGCATCTAATAATTTCAAAATAAAAAAAAATTGATTAAAATTTCAAAATAAAATAACTTACAACACCCGTAACAAATATATATAAAATAACACCAATAGCCCATATATCAGCTTTTTTTGCATCATATGGTAATCCAAGTAAAATTTCAGGTGATACATATGCACGTGAACCACAATATGTTTTACTTAAATATTCTTTAGATTTAAGTACATCTTTTGAAAAACCAAAATCACATAATTTCATATTATCTTAATACAAAAGAAAAAAATTTTTATTTATTTATTTTAATAATTATTGTTTTTTTGTTTTTTTATCTTACCATTAATATCAAGTAAAAGATTTTCTAATTTAAGATCACGATGTACAAGTTCAAGTTCATGAAGATATTTAACTGCATTACATAATTGATAAGACCATAATATACGTTTTTGTTCAGGTATAGTACCAACTCGTTGAACATATGTTAAAAGATCACCTTGTGAAGCAAATTCAAGTATCTAATTAAATAATAAAATTATTTGAAAAAAAAAATTAAATCTAACCATAAAAATTTTTCCACATTCAATAAAATGATCATACATTTTAATAATATTTTCATGATTAACACGTGGCCAAATATCTAATTCACGTGGTAAAAATTTTTCTTGAAAATCTTTTGAAGCTCGTTGTGTATCAACTATCTATTTTTAAATTAAAAAAAAAACAAAAAAAAAACGTAAATCAAAGAATTTTACTTTAATAGCAACTTTATATTGATGAAATATATCAAAACCTTCTCGTACACAGGAAAATGAACCTTCACCTAATTTTTTTCGTAAAAAAATTTTTCTTTGAGCAAGTAATGCACGTTCAGTTAATTGTTGACATTGACATATTATACCATTTTGATCAATATATGATTTTATTTCAGTTTCTTGGGAATATTTATATAATTTTGTTAAATTATTATTTGTTATTGATGGATTAGAAGATATTAATATTGTTGATTTTTCTTCAATTGATAATGGAGTAGATAATCGCATAGAAGTAGCAAGAGTCATAGGAGAATAATAATAAATATAAATAGTTATGATATTATTATTATTATTATTAACATGAAGATAATATTAAATTTAAATAAATCTTCATAATGATTTTGTATATGATATTTAGTGGTTACTATAGACAATATTGAAAATACAACATTATTGAAGAAAATATTTAAATTTGAATGAATGAAAAATAATCTTATTTGAATTTTGTTGTTAGTCAAATTTTCTTTTTTTGGCGCCTATAGAAAAACAAAATATATATATATATATAAATTTGTTGATTTACTATTTTATTAAGTTAGATATGTATATACATAGATGAATAACAATACAATGTTCACATTAGATGAAGATTAAACATAATGAATAGTTAATAAGTCAGAATCGTTGTAAATGAAACAGATGATTGATCATATGTTCGCGCACATAACATATGTGATTAGCAAACATTGAAAAAATTTATTAAGAATTGTATAAAAATTCATTTTATATTAAATGTCTGATAGATTATAAATAGTTGAATTCGTTTGATATATATATAATATGATTTTTTCATATAGAATTTTATTGATTTGTTTATGTAGAGATATAAACAAAATATATACGTCTTGAGAATCATATTGACTCATTCGATAATTAAAAAAAAAATTACTTGAAGCAATTCTTCTATTCATGAATTGAATAACATGACTTATTAGTAGTCGATTATTACTATGCCAAAGCTAACCTTATGCAACATTAGACAAATTCTAAAAGATGACATACGTGACTTATCTTGTTTCTTGTCAATAAGTTTTCAACCATCGTTGTCTCGTTTTCAATCCCAAAATTCTTCGAACAATATCGACAACCTCCATCGATCAATTCAAAAGGTTCTTATTGCTAATTTCAATATAATTTTGAAAGACAAAGCTTTTAAATAAAATTTACAAGAGATTCAATGTCTATCAAAGTTATGTGTTCAATAACTTTAATCAATATTGTAATGTTGCACATAGATAAATTTAGGGACTCTTTGAATATTCTAGAAGGTTCAACTGAAAATAATGTTGTTTTATCGAGATATGCAATTCCTACATAAACTTAGTTTTTTGTACCATGTCTCTAGCAAACAACGTTTGTTGAAAACTTCATATCATATCTTCCGATGATCACTGTAGGATCCATTCAATGATTTAGTATCTCTTATCTAACAAATTATTGGAAAACACATTTGATCCATTGTTAAACATTTTGTATTGATGTAGATTCCAGAGATGCACATCGCGGCTGAAAATCTGCCGCTACCACACCGCGGAGGATTTTGAAAAGTTGCTGCCGCGACGCCACATATAAGCAGAAATGAGAAATAGCAAAATTTGTTTACAAAAACAGCAGGTTGATTTTTTTATAGGGACCAGAGATGTTCATAGCGTCTGAAAATCTGCCGCTATCGCGATGGAATTTTGAGAAACGTGCCGCTGCTGCCACGGCGGTAGCGGCGCCTTGGACATCTCTGGTAGATTTATTTTTTCGATGTATCATCAAGCTTGCATATAGAAGATTTCAAAGGAAAATTTTACTTTTTCAAACTAATCACTTTACTTTTCCATAATAAGATAATAATGAATAAAATTTTCTCTAACGAATATAGAAATATGTTATTGATAGCATGATTTAATTCTTTTTAATAGCATTTCTGTTAATGTTTACGTCTGTTGACATTTTCGAAGAGTGAAAAATAAAATATTCATTTGTATTTTTTTTTGATTGCGAAACAAAACATTCCGTTAATACTAGAAAAGTATTACTCTAAGTTTTAATTGGATCATTAGAACTTCGAATCTTTGTTTTTTTTCATAATAGATGTCGTAGAAAAAAAAACTGAAATCTCATTCGATAAAGATAACATTAAAATTGATTTAGTTGCTAGGCTTCATTTTGATTTGAAATTTTAAAATGTCGCAAAAGTTAAAATATACGTCATTTTTAAGATTTACATTAGAACTTGTTTTATTAAGTGATTTAAACAGATTCATCACATCATTTCTATTTTCGATATGATTTTACAATAAGTTTATATTAATAACTTATTTATTCAATAAATAAAAAATATTTATCCATTGTATATGAAAGTATATTTTTCGTACTCTTTACTTGTAATAATTTAATAATAAAATAAATTTTAGATTTTAGATTTTTAATGATTGTTTTTTTTTCTAGATGAAAAGTTCACGAGATCGTGATTATATACCTGTAGAAACTAGTGTTAATGAACAAATAAATACACTTTCATTTAAGCCACATATAACACAACGTTTAACTGAACTTGAACATCCAAAAACTTCTCTTGATCATGAAATATTACATACATTAAGAGAATCATATGATGATCGTTCATCACCAACAACAAGATCAATAACATTAACAAATATTGATTATGCATTATGGCTTGAAGCTGGTAAATATGCACATAAACCAACATATGCTAAAAGTCTTGATGGAAAACCACCAATTAATTATAATATATGGAGAAACTATCGTCATTATTATTCAGGTATAAATAGTAATAATACACGTCGTATTAATGGTCAATCACGATTAAATGAAGAAGCAGCATTTAAATATCCAATTATAATTCCAGCACCATCACAACTTGGTGAAAATCATTTAAGACAATTTTTTGAATCTAATAGAAAAGAACTCTTTCAAAATCAATCTCATTTTCGTATGGCACTTATTAAAGCTGATAATGATGAAAGAATGTTACGTTTATTAAGTTTAAAAAGTCAGCAACGAAATCCACCTGCATCGTCAGGTAAAAAAAAATAATTGTCTAAACATTTAACATCAAAAGATTTATTTTTTATATTACAAATACTAATCATAGGAATACATATCAGTGTCTGACATGGATCAGTTTTTCGTGATCCAACCCAATCCGAAATTGAAAATATTTTTTTGTCGAGAAAAACGAATTCTTGTTTTTTTCATAGGTTTTATAATCTTTTCTACAAACTTTCTCAATATTTGAAACAAAGTTAACCATTATCTCATCTGAAATCGTTGTGTAAACTTCGAAATCGGTCAACTGTTAGTGATCCGAGTCGGACACTGATACAGATTAAACTTTGAAAAATGTTAGATTCATTTTTCTGTAATTTTTTTCAAGAAGGATGTGAAAATTAATGTGTCTGTTATAAATATTACAGCGATAGTTAAAACAATTTGAAAACAATTACTTTACTTATTGTTTGATAATGCGATCATTTTGTCTTTCTATTAAATCATGTATGTTCGTGTAATATTTAAATTCGAGTAAGACGCCACTAAAAAAAAGTCCCTTCCTAAAACTTTACTATTTTATTCATATGAGCATATTTTAAAATTATACTTCTAAACTATGATGTGTAATCGAGACAAAAAAAATTAGTCTTTTTTTTTATATGCAAAAAAAATGTAATGCAACGATTCTTTTTTTAATTACTCAGATTTTTTGAAATCTTCAGTTTTATAGACATTGGTTTTTCATATATTTTCATAAAAAGGAGAATTATTGTATAATATTTTTCTGCATATATTAAAAACAAAGGCTAAATTTTTATATCTCGATTACACATCATAGATTAGAAGGATAATTTTTCGTATAAATAGAAACTTGATATATAGACTTATTATTTAAAATAAAAATAGTTAAGAAACTTAAATGGAAATAGTCAAGATCGACGAAAAAACTTTTAGAAAGGAAATTTTGGGACATACACCCTATAGATAAAATGATTTTTTATGTGACACTTCATTTTCTTTTTTTCAAAAATTTCTATCATTATCTGCTTGAAAATTATGTGCGTTTTCCATAAAAGAAGGAAATTTTTTTTCGTTTGAAAAAGTATGTCAAGATGTAGAACATGATAATCTTGTCTTTCAATGAAGTTTTATAATTAGAACGACTTTGAAAAAAAAACGACTCTATCATACTCTACCTCTTGACATATTCTTTCGAACAAAAACCTTGATTATATAAATTAAATGCCCATCGATGATTATTGAGTTCTACAACCTCTTTATTACAATCATAACATATTCTGAAAAGTGAGAAAACTGGTCAACTTCATAGAAAAAAAATGAATAAAATAGTTTATCATTGATATGTTTTCTTTATAGATATTGCTGAATCATCTCGTTTATCAAATATTTCATCTCTAAATAAACCATTGTCAGCATCAACACTTCGTATTCGACAACCACCACCACAAAATTCTTTAAATGTTTCACCAGAATTTCTTCCACGATATAAATTTGGTAGTGGTAGAAAATTTATTATGAAAGATAATCATCCATCAATTGAAAAATTAAAATTTGAACAAGAACTTAAAATGGCTATTAGTTTTCATCGTGAACTTAAACGAGCAAAAGAAGGCAATGAAAAAAGTCTTTATGCTCGTCATCAACCGGTTTAATACATAAAAAAAAAGAAACAAAAATGATTTTATTTTTAATCTGTAGTTATAATGATGTTCTTTTTTTTTTCTTTCTGTTTTTGAAAACTAATATTTTTTATATTTATATATATAAACAAAATTATAATAATTATTATTTTTTTTTTCAGATTAATTGCAAAACAAAAAATAAATATCAAATGGATGTTGCAACACTTTCAAATAAATTAAATGAAACAACTGGTTATGTAGTTCGACCAAATTTTGAAGAAAAATTTCGTTCAACGAAAATACAAGAAATTCTTTATTCTTGTATTAGTGATGTTCTTGGTGATAAAAAATTTGAACAAGATTCATGTCCAGAATGGACAAAAGCGAGTATGTTTATTTAATAAAAACTTCTTTTTTTTTTTTTTTATTTGAATCTACATAATAGCGATTTATCAATTGGAAAAATTACCTTGTAAGAGAATTTGCACTGCTGTGACATTTTTTTAATAAATATGAATATATTCATTATTTCATACAGAGAAAAATTATATCAATAAAATAGCATATATGAGAACTATTTCAAACTTTCATAAGTTATAACTTTGTATCATCAGCAGAAGTAGATATCGGGCAAGATTAAGAATATCCTAAAAGAATACTTACGAGGGAATATTTTCAACTGTCAAATCTCTTTTGAGTTCGAACTTTGTACATAAGATAGATCTTAGTGAGGTATGAAAAACTCCAAGAGATTAAATCCCCTTAGGTCTTCTGTCCAGAGTTATAGGTATTTTACTGAAATTTTAGCCTAGGACATGGGATATACGAACAAATTGAGTGACGGCGTTTCGGTCTGAGATTTTGCTCACAGGCAGATCTATTGATGACTAGACTACCCTGAAAATTTCAGCTCAAAAGAACATTTCTTTCCCGAGATATTAACGTCTCAAAAATGACTCCTATAGGATAACAAATGCTAAGATTTTCTGTTTTTTGGGATTTTAATATCTTGGGAAGGAAATGTTCTTTTGAGCTGAAATTTTCAGGATATTCTAATCATCAATAGACTTATCTGTAGACCAAATCTCAGACCGAAATGCCATCATTCAATTTCTTCGTATATACCATGCCTTAGGCCAAAATTCTAGTAAAATGCCTATAGCTCGGAACAGAAGGACTAAGGAGATTTAATCTCTTGAAGTTTTTCATATCTCACTAGGATCTATCTTATGCACAAAGTCCGAATTCAAAAGGGATTTGACAGTTAAAAACGTTCCCTCTTTAGTTGTATCCACAGAATCGTATACGGACGTCATCAACGATCGTATTTCTATGTCTCATATACAGAGAAATACTACCATAATTTTCGTATTAGAACGGAACTCGTTCGTGAATTATATTGATATAGTTTTTTTTCTTAATACGAGAGTCAAAATTAAAAGATAATCGATTTAACTACAATTGTTTCGAATTGATCAAAGAAAACAGCTACAAAGAATAACTAAATAAATAATTTATCTGTCAAATATCTTTGACCATTGTCGTCTTTTGTAAAGGAAAAAAAAAGAATTACTTTGACTTGTTATAAATTTGTAATTTCGATCATTCGAATGAGTACTTCATATTTTTGTTTTTTTTTATAGAATAGTTGACACGTTCAAAATGTCAACTTTGTAGACTAAGCAAAAATACATCAATGATATAAAAAAAAAAAAGAAATAATATGATGAATGGCTTCATCATATGACAACATTAATAGTTATGATGAAAAATGAGCAGTAGATTTTTTCTTTTGATCGAGGCATCGTTCTAGTTTTTTCTTTTACATAGAATTCATCGGTTGTTAAATTCTATTTGATCAAATAAATTTTCTTAGAGCTTCGACGTGTATTTATTTGAAATTTTCTTTATTCATTAAAATCATAGACTAGAAATCTTAAATACAATATCAAATATTTATATTATTCATATCTTTTTGGTTTTCTAAACATAAGAAATGCAATTAAATTCAATACTTTAAATAAAATCTAATTTATATAGTTTATAATAAAAGCAAGTAACTTAATATGAGATAGATTGATCAATATTTGAGTCATTCATTGAACATATTCTATAGCAAATAATAATGTTTAAATTCTATTCAAGAATTACTTTTGAAAAGAAAAAAAAAAAAAAAGTGAATTTTCATATTGATGAAATTCTGTCTGATATATATATATATCCTTTTTCTTTATTAACAATAGTTACAATTAACATTCGTGATCGTCTTAAAGCAGCAAATATGAAATTTGATCGATATAAATTTATAGTTCAATGTGTTATTGGTGAAAATCGAGGACAAGGTGTTAAATATGGTTGTCGATGTTTATGGGATTCAGATACAGATGGTATGGCTGAATATGTTTATTTAAATGATAGTCTTTTTTGTGCTGTAGCTGCTTTTGGAATTTTTTATTATTAATCATAATCATTTTTTTTTAATTGTCAACAATTTCATTCAAATAATTGTTTATTTAATGAAATAAATAAATAAATAAATATATTGAAAAAATATAAAATCAAAATTGTTAGAATCGTTTTAAAAGCTAATATAACAACAACAAAAAATATACCCAATGGAATTGGAGTTCATCGATGTCATTTATTACTAAAGGTTAACCGCATATATAAAAAAGAAAACAGAAAAGAAGAGGATAGAAAAACAAGAAGATCTACGTGCTCAATTTTTGTTAGTAGTAATTCTGTTTTGCAATCCCATATTAATAAAGTTTAGAAGAGATGAGAGAGAGAGAGAAAAAAAGAGAAGAATAATTTGTCATGAAGTTTTTTTTTTTTTTTCTTCGATTCTGTCTCATTCATTTGCACACGTATAATGAAAAGGATATCAATATCAAATAAAACCGGCAGAATTTAGACAAACGAAAGAACAAGAAAAAAGAGAAAAACGAGAGAGAAAGATTGCAATGCACATAAATAATGCCAACTTTTCTCTCGCTCTCTTGCATATTTATATAATCTGATAAGAACATAAGTGGTAGGTAAGAGAAGGTCTCGAGATTCGTACAAAGTAAAATGACGGATAAAAATAAGAGGAAATTTAATAGGTGGAATAGAGAGAGAGAAAAAAAAAAGATTGTTTATTGCAGCTGTTCGTCATTTTTAAATTACTCGTTGTCGTTGATCTTCTCTCGGTCGGATACTTTTTCTACTATTACTAGTTACAAAATTTAAGCACGTACCCAAGTATATACATTAAAGCAATGCAGTTAATCAAAAGGAACGAATAAAACAACTCTTAAATAAACCAAAAAATGGGGAAATTTACAACATAAGAGAGTGATCATCAAGTTGTGTACTTTATTAAAAATACTGAATCAGGTAAAAAAAAAACATATCGAATGACACTTCCATACATCATAGGAAGACAACACAGATGTCAACGAGAGAGGGAGAGAGAGAGAGAGAAAAAAATCAACTTCAATAAACCGTGCAAATACAAGTTTATAGTGTACACACAGCTGACTTGATTTCGATTGAGACAATCAAAATCACCCTATCGTCATGATAATAAAACTGCATATATACATACACTAAGCTCTCTCACGATGATAATAAAAACGGGCGCAATATGTTAGCGATATAACCCCTCTTTGTTATGAGAAGTATAAAGCAAAGAGAGAAAAGAAGTATTACGCGAACTGCTATAAAAAAAATTGAAAGAGTGTTTTAGTTTGCTTTCTTCTCTCTGTCTCTCTTTCTCTCTTTTTCATACCTCTATAATTTTTCGTTTTACAGTTTGATTAAGAAGAAAAACGAGAATAGTGAAGTCTTATTCTAACTGCATTTTTTTTTATCAAATGTTATTTAATGACAAATTCTATTCGAATTCTTATATCAAGATGATAAATTCGATTAAAATGAATTGATAACAATCAAATTTTCAAATATATTGTAAGTAGAATTATATGATTATAATAAAATAATAATAATAATCTTAACGTTCGATTGCTCGTGCCAGGCAGTGTTTTTGCACGAGATTAACAAAAAACTGTAAATGCATTGGTCTGGTACGAACCATCAAAACGATTTCATCATTATATTTTATAGATTTAAATGTTTTTTTTTCTTTTTGTTTTATAATTTTAAATTCTCGTCTTTTTTTTTTTTTGTTGTCTTCTTTAGAACGATATATATATCATCTTACAGTCTTCTAATACGTTGACAAGGCAATTCAAATGATTTACATATTGTCTATTTGCTCATGTAACACACAAGAAAAAGAAAGAAAGTTAATAAAAATGAAAAAAGAATTGGCGCTAAATATATAAATGGGTAGCATTTGTATTCGTAATAGAAATCTTCTTCAAACTTCATTAAATAATTATATACAATCGAATATTGATGATATGATATATTAAGAAATGAATTCATTATCATTAAATATTATGCAATATAATGATATTTTCATTGAAAATAATTTAATGAATATCAATGGACATTTGAAAATAATATTGATAGAAAATGGCATGATGATTTAATTTATTCATAATAAAAAAAAAATTTTAAAAATATAGTTTTTTTTTTTTATATCGAAATCAACTTTACCATGATAGTAGAATATAATAAATATGTCTAAATTTTATGAGGATATTCGAGCAGCTTTACTCGTTATTTCTTATCAAAAAGTAAATATTGATAACTTTTCATTGCAGATTTATCAATTTTCTTAGTAAAAATTTATGTATGATGAATTTGCTGACTTTATCATTTAAAGTCATGACTACAAAAAAAAAAATGTTATTATTGTCATTTTGTTAACTATTTTAGATGTGTAGAAAAGATGTAAATGATTAAAAAAAAAAAAAAATAATTCAATAAATTTATTTAAACATTAAAAATTTAAGCAATTGTTAAATCATCAGAAAAAAAGAGTAAAATTGTTGGACAATTTTCATTATTAGATCTCCATTCATATGTATCATAAAAGAATTCTTCATTTGGTATACTATTTTCTGTAAGAGTTTTATTAAAATCAAGTTTTTTACCATTATATAACCATATATAAGAAAATATATGTGAATTATATTTTAAAAATTTTTTTGCTATTTGTCCAATTGTTTCTTCTTCAGCTATTTCTAATAGATATGAATATTTAGAAGAAAAATTATATATAAGACGTATAAATCGAGAATGTTCAATAAGTCGACCGATTAATAAATCTTTTGTTTGCCAAAAAGGTCTACCTAATGTTTCAATTATTGATAAATCTTTGATTAATAAAACCGATTCATGTGTATAAGGATCAATTCGTTTACGTGGTTCATATAATTCTTCATCGAACCATGAACTTATATCTTGACCAGCATAATCAATCAATAATTGATATACTCTTGTACCTTTAGTCTTTTCTATAAGTGATGTTATATCATATATAGAACGAAATATGCAAATCCATGCATCAGTTGAATCATTATGCTCAGCTAATTCATTGAATGTATAAAAAGGTAATAAAGTTTCAATTTGTTGTTGTAATATATTATTTATATTAGGACGACAATATTCTGGAATTTCAATAATTGATTCATTTAAGAATAACGAAGAAAATTTTTGTTTTTCTATTTCATCATTATTTGTTATAAGATTTGAAATAGACTAGAAAATTATTGAATGAAAACTGAATTGAAAATTGTTTTATTAAAAACGAAAGAAATTCTACTTGTTCTTTTTGAATATATCTCAATGATTTATTAACTAGAATATTGTAGAAAAAAAATAGAATAAATTTGTAAGGAAATCTTTATTTTTTTTTTTTTGTACTTTTTTTTATTAATATTTTTTTTTCTTGTTGATCATAACCATCGATTTCTGGTAATGAAAATCGAGCTTTTCTATTATAATTATCAATTATTTTATTTTCTATCCATTTATTAGATACTAAAAGAAAGATTAAATTTCTCTTTAAAAATATTCTTACAATGATAAGAATTACTATCATCTTGATATTCATTTATTATATTTGAATCCCAAAATTCAACATTATGTTGATATGGTAATGAAGATGATGGTGTTTGTAATGATAAATTTTCATTTGGTGATTCAATTATTGATTTTGTATTAGAAAATAATTGTTGTGTTGTATGATAATCTCGTTCATTATCAATTATATGATAATTAACTTCTTGATGACCCATTGGTCCTGTAGCAACTGTAAACATACCATCAATACGATCAATTTCTGATTTAACATGTTCGATTTCAGAATCAATACCAATTGGTAATATTTGTTCTTCCATTGTTTGTTATTTTTTTTTTCTCTAAATTTATATCAAAGCGCTTTGATATAATATATATATATATGTTTTGTAGAAATAACTTAACAACCGATAATCTTATTATTATAATTTTTAATCAAAATAATATATATTTTCTTTTTATATATTCAAATGAATATTGATAAAAAAAAATTAAATAGTCTTGGTGTTTTATTTCATCAAAATTTTATTGATTCTAAAAAATTTTTTCAAAAATTATTCGATAATAATATTTGTACATGTCAACAATATAATCGTAATAGTAATGCATTTCATAATGATAATGAAGAATCACAACAAGAACAATTATATCCTCATATGAGAAAATTATATAATCATGAGACAAATTTACTTGAATATGTATATATTATTATGTCAACAATTAAACCAAATGATTCAATCAATAAACAAGATGAAATTCTAGGACAACAACAACAACAACAACATCGTCGTCGACAAACACGTATTTCAAAACAACGTGCAAAAGTTTTAATTACAGAATATTGTCGAGATAAATAGAAGATGAGATATAAAAAAGGATCTGATAGTAACAATGTAATGATCATATGTAATTAGATTCTTCTTCTTTTGTTCTTATACCGTTCATGAAATCATATAGTTAACGTTTAGTATATCGATCTATTGCAGAAACTATATTGTTTTATTAAATCCATTCATCATAATAGCACAGTTTAAATTTTAGCTCAATATCATCATCACGTTTTCCGAAGAATATTCTATGAACAACTGTTCTGCATTTTCATGTACAATTAAAAAATGTAAACAGAAAAAAAACAATAAAAAGTATATTTTATAAGAAGAAAGGGAAAGGTCAGTTTTGAAAAACAAAACGTGATATCGAATAAAAAAATATATTATTTATGAAAGATCAGATCTCGGACTATCTTTTTTTTTTAACATTTATCTCAATAGTCATGTTTTTGAACGGAAACCTTGAACAATGCATAAAACTATCGTTGACATTCACTATATTCACGAAAAAATAACACTATAATAATTAACAACCAAGTGATCTATGTCAGTGTGACTTGTAGGTACTCATGAGTACATTTGAAGAACATCATCATGATTAATTAATCTTATAAAATTAAGTTTTTTTGGAATGATAATAACTTAAAAAAATTATTTGTGTAATACACCAAAAGATACAGTATCGAAAACTTATACTCTTGTGCAAAATGATTTAATATATAAACTAATGAATCAACAATGATGATCTTCTATGGAGGCAAGATTCTTTACCTAATCCGAGATGATCATAACAACATGTGAAAACATATAGAAATTAGTAATGTTCAAAACTTACTAATTAATACATTCTATAATGTTCACATGTTTTTAGGATAGTATTTAAAAAAAAGCAGTTTATAGTATCTCTATCTTTATTTCTTGGTTGATTCTTATCTTGAAGTCATTGTCAGTTTTTTTTCAGGATCCTACATCAAATGTTATTATTCCTGCTCTCATGATTTCTTAAGACTGTAGAAAATTCTTTCTAGGATTTGTTTAAGTTCGGATATTGTAAAGATTTAATCAAGCTAGAGTCAAAATCTGTTTTCAGCTTGATACGAAGATTCGATCGAAAACTACAGTTGAATTCAACCGATAGTTCCTATGATTCGTATAATATAGATCGGTAATATTTTCCATTCTATATTATTTTATAAAATTATCCCATTTCATTTGTATTTTTCTCCACAAGTAGTAGCGCAATCATTTTTCTGTTTTTGAAAGAAAATACAAGAGATATACAATAATCTCTCAAAAAAATAAAACGAATAGAACACATGATTGACCTTGTTTTCAGAATTAATACATCAGCTACAGAATGATTTTAAAGAAGAATACAACTGGCAGGTGTAGATATGGATCAAGACAGAATGAACTTACATTCATATTGCCAAATATTCATAACACTTGCTAAATACATGTTGTAGGTATAGATGTGATTGTAAGGTGCGTTTGCCGTGAAAAGAAGTATTTCCACTCGCACGCACACCCACATTCAACTTCGTCTTGGTTTCAATGAATTTATTACAAAAAAACAAGGGTGACAACAATTGAAATAAAATCATATACAAATGACTGTTCACAATAATTAAGTGTCTTTCAATTATATAATAAAATCAACGAGGAAATGAAACAGATGACCGATAATATTTACAAGTTCATTGAACTTCGATCATCTACTTCCAATACATCTTTCAACAAATTTCTCCAGCCCTAAGATATAGAATGAAAAGAGAAGTGCATGATTTATGAATTGTATTTCATAAAACATCTACAAGTCGACTGAAGAACAGAGGTACCAGTCGAATTTTCAGCATATTTGCTTGACCTTATAAAAAGTTATACGTAGGTTTCACGATTTTCATGTATGTTTTATCGAAATCACAATTGAAAAGTTTAGATTCTGTCATTCAGCCATAGATCAACAAAATTTTTAACACTATGTACAAGCTGATAGAGAGCGTCAACCAGTGAAGCAAACCCATCAACGAATGTTTTAGACTAAAAGCGATTATTTCTAAGCTAGATTTCACGCATATATAGTGTAACTTTTTCTTCTGTATAAAATGTTAGAAAAATATTTGAAAAAGAAAACCTTTCTCTATCTTTTGTCATGAAAATTTTCGTCTCGAAAGAATTAAGACTTGTATCTAGATAGAATAGCAGGAGCAATTCGTTTGAAAAAAGAATTGATGATCAATCTCAACCATCTCATTGTGATCAGTTAGATGATCATTATTCAATTATTCGAACAAAATAAATTCTTTTTTTGAAACGAATCGCTCATGCTATTCTATCTAAATGCAAGTTTTAATTCTTTCGAAATGAAAATTTTCATGACAAAAGAAAGGGTGTGGGTGTAGAATCTAAACTGTTCATAAGCTCATACAACTTTGCTAGAAATTTCGATTTAGATATTTCAGACATTGCTAATCTAGATGCGCATATGAAATCAAAAAAATAAAATTTGACTGGTACCTCTATTCCTCAGTCGACTGGTAGATGCTCTCTTAAATATTGTATACGATATATATATATGTCTATTACATACCGGGTTTTGATGCAAATTTGCATAAACTGGATCTTGCATTAAAATTAGATGAACAGAATGTAATTCCCATTGAGGCACTTTTGGAAATAAATGATGTACCTTTAAAAAAAGAAAAAGAATAAAAACAAAAGAAATTGGAGAATGATTTTGTTTTTTTTTTCTGATGCAAAACTCTCATATTTCATATACTGTAGACAATTATCAAATATAATTATTGTATGAAAGGATACAACAACAATTTTCTGTAGTCCTTATAATAATTAGATGAATAAGAATTTTTTCAAAACAAACAATTCTTATGTTGATATAAAGTAGTAAAATTTGACAAGAAAGCCAGTTTCAATTCCAATGAGAAATTAAGTAATCAAATTGAAACGAAAGACGTGTAAAGACACGATAGAGAGATTGAATATGTGTTATTTTTAAACAAACTACATATCAAAGTCATGTTCAGAAACAAAAATGAAACTTTGACCTCGAAAAAGGATGTAAAAAAAACAATTTGAATGTAATCATACCAAATGATAATTTTCATTATGTACACCAAAAAAGAAATCCCATAATTTGCCAGAAATTGTATTTCGTGACATGTAAATGTCAATACGTGGTGCTGTTTCGATCTAAAGAAAAAAAGAAATAGTACATATAGTTTAAATCAAGGTTAGAAAGAATTTTTTCTTTTTATGAATATTTAATAATTTACCATTGGATAATGTTCAAGTAATTCAATAAATGAACCTATCCACATATGCGACGTTAGATATGGAATAAACCAAAACATTAATAAATTTGTTATATTATGAGTATAGAAGAAAAATGTTAACAATCCAGTTAGATAAATCATTCGAATAAATGTTTCATACATATTATCATCCTAAAATTTCATTGAAATTATTTATATATCGAAAATTTTCTTTTTTTTGTCAACGACAATAGTATATGTATGTACTTTGGTGAAAATTCTATATTTGATTAAATACAATAAATAATTCCATGATGATTTAGGTGTAAATAAATTTATCAAATATTTTTTAATATTTGAATTTGTTCGTTGTTCACCATAAATACCATTTTCTTTTAAACTAATCTAAATATTAAAATAGATACTATCTAAATTATGCTATATCACTAAGAATATTTTCATTAAAAAAACGAAAATTGTAGACATAATTGAGAGACTTTTTTTTGTTTCTAAAAACTTTATTCTCATTGAATCTAAAAAAATATGTAATTGAGAAATAAAAGCTTTTACAATATACACAATGGCAAAATTTATTTATTTTATTTTTACAAATATTTGTCACCACGAGAGAAAACTATCACTTTCTTAAAGTCTATTTTTTTCAGAAAACCTTTTGTAAATACTTTACATTATTCGTAAAATTCACTTACATAGTCTGGATCTCTGTTTGTGCCAAGAAATGGATGATGATTTCGAACATGTGATATTTGATAACCATAAAAACTTTGAAATATTAAATAACCTGAAGAAAATGTTCCAAGAAAAAAATTTAAATATTTATTCGATGCAAAACAATTGTGTGCTGCTGCATGTAAACAATCAGCAAGACCACGTTGTCGAGCACCAATTATACAAACTGTTATTAAATAAATAATTATAGTTAAAATAAAATATGAATCAAATTTATTATTGTAAACATATTTTGAACAAAATATTGATAAAAATATAATAGACCAATCTTCAAGTAATAATAATATACCATATGTATTATTTTTCTTCTGTGACATTGTATGTTTAAATACTTGTTGACGAATGCAATCATTAAAATGATATCGTTTCAATAATTGCATATTGTTATTTTTCTTCTTTTGCTCCATAATCATAATAATTGTATAATGATGATTTGTCCACATCCTATTTTTATATACTGAGATCAATGAGAAAGAATTTTTACGCATTTGATGACATCATTTTACTATAACAAAATTCTTTATTACTCATGACTGATAATTATTGCGTTTTGTGAAAATATTCCCTTAATTTTGACATATAATGTATAGTGTCATTCAATTACGTAGTGGGTTGAAAAAGTTTTCGATCTGTACGTTCTATCTATCCCATGGAATAGGATAGGACCGTTCTGTCCCACGTAAAGTCGTCATATATTTATATATACATATATATCTTTTTTTCTTTTCTTTCCTTCACTTAGATACTTGCCTCTTGATGTTGTTCTTTTCTCTTTTGTTCATCTTTTGTCCCCAAAATGTTGGGTTTTTCCTTAGCTCATTCATACATGTTTTCTTTCTAATATTTTGGTTCAGTAGTAAGAACAGAGATATATAAAAACAATAGCGGAAATATACGGAGAATATTCTATCTTGAGAAATTTCACATAAACAGGGAGGAATAGTAATACATAAGATAATATCCATACACTTTCTTTTGCATGAATGAAATAAATACACAAATACGTAGACATTTGTCGCAGTTCTTATTGACCTTGGATGTTGACTCTATCATTCCATTCAAGACTTTTTTATTCTTTTGTTGTACATCAGATTTTATTTCATGTGAATCCAGTCGATAATTGTTCAAATGAATAGTTATTCAATCTTTCCAGTAGTTCTAGTTATTCATTAGAACAACTATTGAGGGAAATTCTGAAGCACACTCAAGTTTTTAACTACATGTTCAGTTAGCATCTAAAATGCTCACTCTCATACTGAAGTGTGCTTGAGAATTCTCCTTCATATTTGTTCTAATGAATAACTAGAACTACTAGAAAGATCAAATACTTATTCATTCGAACAATTATCGATCGAATTCATGAAACACAATACAAATACTGTGAATGACTTCATAATGATGAAAGTGATCATGAGGCTTGTTTTTGGTCAAAAATGAAGTACATAAAAAAAAAGTTCTTATTTTTCAATTACATATTTTTAGATTCAATGAGAAGAAAGTTTTAGAAAAAATATCTCTCAATCATGTCTATGATTTTCGATTCTTTAATGTAAATATTATTAGCGATAATGTAATTTCACTTTGGATTGAATCTCAATACGGATGTGTTAGTATGTCACAGAAGAAATGAATATTTGACTACCTTCTATTAATCTTGTCTTCCTTAGACATCTCAGAAATGATATTCTTTTTTTTCCTGAAAAGATGCACCCTTCAAATAACTACGAGTGTTTATACAAGCATCTTATCCACTACAATCATCATATACCATCTAGTCATAATGATTACACTTTGATGTTAATAAGACAGTTGCAGTGTAAATTTGTCTTTCAGAAGAAATGAGTGATTTTTTTATTTTCTAATTTTCTCTTGACAGTTTTAATTGTTGCTTTCTTACTTGTTATAGAATCTTTTTATGTTTGAAATTCTCTACAAAATAGTATGCTTTGTTTAACGAACATAATTTTCGTCATTTTGTAATAGATAGCTCTCTTTGCAACAGTTTCATTTCTTTGATCAACATTAGTTCTGTTTTTAACTCGGATTCAATGCATTGGTTTGATCATCTATTTCGAAACAAAACTTTTGAGCTTAATCAACAACCAATCCGTTTAGAATGAATTGGTCAAAGTATTAAACTGGAATTGATTAAAAACAAAACTACTGTTGATCGAGAAAATGAAACATGCTACAAAAGAAGGTAGACCATAAACAATTTTAGAAAATTGTAACGATTTTTCTAAATGATTGTATTGGCAATTATAAAATGATGAAAACTACGTTCATTAAATAAAGTATACTATTTCTTCTTGGCTACTCCGTTAAAGAGAGTAAAAACTGCACAGATGTAGCACAAAAGTATGCTGGAAATATAAATGATCGAAGGTTCTGGTAACATTTAATCGAACAATTTTGATTTTAGATCAAGAAATAGCTTTTTACTCTGTTTATGACATTAGAGAAAAGCAAGACATTTCTCAACCTTGATGCTTTTTCTTATGGTCATTAACACAGACAAAGTATGTTCATTTGTTGTATATGTATCTGTTTTTATCAAAATGGAGAAAATATCAGATACAACATCCCTAAACATTTCGTTTTCCATATATATATCTGAAACGACATTGCATTATTCTGCTTACTTTGGTGAAAAGCTAAGAATGATTGCATATCATGTTACATATTTTATCGATTGATGTGATATTTGTTGTTATCTTAGTTTTTGATTCATTTATTTTGAAATATTTTGACATCGACATATACTTCATAGAAGAAAGACACTGAGGAACACATTAGAGACAAAATTCGAAATAAACAGCGTTTGAATAATTGTAGTGTATTTACTTGACATAGTTGTCAATAAGATCTTGCAGCGTCTGACAAAAAATATCAATTTCTTCTTCTGTATTAAAATAATGTATGGAAGCTCGAATCATATTGTTTAAATTTCGCTCAGTCATATCGAGTAATGTATGATGACGAACTGATACAGAAGTGTTAATATTGCGTTTACGAAGTTTTGCGCAAAGTTCAAAAATGTCTATTCCATCTACTGTAAATGTAACAATTCCGCATTTAACTTTCCCCAAATCTTGTACTTCTATGCCATCTATTGTTGAAAGTTTGTTTCTTAATGTTTGTCCTAATTGTTGAATTCGCCGCCAAATATTCTCTATGCCAATATTCAATGTATATTGTATGGCTCTAGCTAAGCCTAATTTTGCTGCAATATTACTTTCTGCTATTTCAAACATTCGGGCATCCATTCTAAATTTGTACTCATTTTTTGCTGTCCATTTAGCTGCATGTAAATCCAGCGAAAACGGTTCCAAAAATTGTAACATTCTTTCACTCACAAATAAGAAACCAGTACCACGTGGACCACGCAAAAATTTCCGCCCAGTTCCAGAGAGCATATCACATCCGATCTGTTGTACATCAATCGGCATTTGTCCTACTGATTGACATGCATCGATCAAATACCAAATGTTGTGTTTTCGAGCTATTTTTCCTATAGATTCTGCTGGATTTACCAACCCACCATTTGTAGGAATATGACTTATTGAAATAAGTCTAACATTTTCATCAATCATATTCGCAAGGGCTTCTACAGAAACTTGTCCGTATTCATCATTTGGAATTACTTGTATGATTGCACCAGTCCTTTTAGCTATTTGTAAATAAGCGATGTAATTACTTGCATATTCAGCAGCAGATGTCAAAATTTTGTTGCCCGATTGGAAAGGAAGCGAGTAAAATAGTCTGTCCCAAGAAGTTGTTGCACTATCAGTAATGGCTATTTCTCTTGGTTTGCAATTGAGTAACTGAGCAAAGAGTTCATAAACTTTTTCCAATTCAAATGTATATTTATCTTCCATTTCATAGCCACCAAAAGCTGTTTCTTCTGCAAGGTATTTGTGCATAATTTCATAAACAATCTGTGGCATGAGTGAAGCCCCGGCATTGTTGAAATGAATAACATGTTGAGTACCTGGTGTTTCGGCACGAAGTTGGGCAACATCGAACGTTTGCATTTGAGATTGATTTTAAGGATTCGGATAATATAAATTTAGTCTTCTAGAAAGATACAACAATAATTGATTATGAGCATTATTTTTTGTTTTGTTTTGTGTCTATATGCAATCATTACTTGGATATCTGTATAATAGACATGTTTGTATAACGAAGAAAAAGTTGATCATGCACAATTAGTTAGTTTTCTTGTTTTTAAGATAGTCTTTCGATGAACAACTCACTGGCTAGTTAGTTATCACTGATCATAAACTGCATTACAAAAAAAGAAAATGGTTGATATGTAATCATCCTATCCATATTTTCCTGATCAAGAAGATGATAGATTTTGTAATCATACTGAAGAGAAATGAGAATAGAATAACAGCTTGGAGGAGAAACTCCAAAAAAACACACTCTCTGTATGCTGCACACTATTCGTTTTTCCATTGGTTTTCCTCTTATGTTTCTAATCAGATAGAATCATAAAAATTAATATTTGTCGCAGTTGAAATGAATTACCTCGATCTATTGTCTCTTGTTTTCCCGTTTTTGTTTCTCAGGTAAGTAAAGAAGAAGTGATGGCAGGCGACATGTCTAATCCTAAACATCTGCTTCATCCGTCAGGTTTAGTTTGAAAAGCCTTATGGATCAGGCAAGACTAGTCCACTCTACTAAAAGTGTCCTGTTCTCACGTCTTGACAAGGAGGAAATATCCGAATACTCCGTCGTGTCTAGGCCAGTCAGTAGCAAAATAAGTACAATGGAGAAAGATGGTGAGACACAATTTCGAATATTCAAATCGGTTATGTTCGCAAACTAATGAACATGAAGACGGTAGTCAAGTACATAATAACATACGAAGATCAGTGTGTACAGTCTAAAAAATATAATGATGCTTTTCTTTCTGATGGTCATTTGCTATTTCACTTTAGCAGTGATTGGACGATAATTTACAATAGACAATGTTCATGTGAATTTTTTATCATTTTTATATAATGAATAGTTTTTCTTTCTCAATATCATGTTCAAAAGAGCGTCAAACACTGCATAAAATAGTAGATGCTTTAAAGTTTCACGAAAACTGTTTTTCGGTTTTGAAGGGTCATTTTTCTGAAAAACTTGCAGCGATTGAAAATCTTTCGAATATGATAATTCGAAAGAAAAACCGCTCATTATATAAGAAAGATGAAGAGTTCACATGAACATTGTCTGTTGTAAAATAAGTATTTCACTACATAGACATTTTGCTTTTAGAAAGTTTTAAGAGTGAAGTTTTCTTTGAATATATCATAGACGCTACTTTTTATCTTGGTCCAAATCGCGCCTCAAAAGCTAACTTTATAAGATAGTTATGCGCAAAAAAATAAAATCGTCCGAACAATGATGTCCAATATAGAACAAAAAGAAAAATATTCCAAAATACACATAATGGCAGGATAACCCTTTTCTATATTACTCACCATCAATAATCATTATATGTTGATGAAATATTCCTCTGTCTATAATGCATAACACACACATCTCTCTATATATACATATATATGAGAGAAATGACTCATGTATACATATATATGGGAAATACCACACGTTGCTTCTGAGAACAATTTATGCGTCATGTAGATACTTTGTTTACGACTGATAGTTTATTTATATATTAATTAGACAAAAGAAGAGGATGTGGGTATAAGTGTGTCAAAATAGATTTACAGTCATACCCATAGCCAACTTGTTGATTATTATATGAGCTAACTATTAATCTTACCTAAATGAATGATCAACATTTAAAACAAATGGTATTTTATGAAAGATACAAACAGCATTTTACCATTTATCACATAATATTGTTCGATAAACCATTTAAATATTGTAGTTTTGTTATATCATACATCAAAGATAACAATAGTCGTCGTGGTACTAATAATGCAAATATTGTTGTATTTTATAGATATTATAATGAAAGTTTTGCGTTTATTCAAAAATATCATATGTGGAACAACAAGATTTCTGATTCTGTTGAATTATCAAACGAGATATTACACAGATTAGATGAATTGTATTCATTGTTTGAAGCGTCAATTAGTTATGATGTTAAATCAGTTGAAGCATTTCGTCATAAATGCATAGCAATGCAACTTGAAGATGGTTTTTGTTAATCCGAAATTTCAGTAGATTTTGAACATGATTGAATGAATTTTCTACTATGTAGCTCAATTGTCGTTTAGACTTTTATTGTACATATTTGTACTTATTATAAATTTATTTTTATCTGATATTGCTTTGTCCTCGATTTCCTTCCATGGTATCGACCAACGTATGTGAAAAACCTTATTTGACAAATCATTGTTCAATCAATGATAATAATTTATATATTAATGCTTTTCAAAACTGATACTGCATTTATAATATAAAAGAAATCAAATCTTCATGATATTTTTGAGAATAGTCTAGTGACTATCAAAGATCGAAGCAAAAGTTATGTTGGTTATTATTTGTTCGAATGTAACTCTTTTATCATCGATTTCATGAAAGTACAAATGAAAATTATAGTTGAAATGGTTCGGTTCTTTTATAGGTTCTTTGACTAAAATAAAATCGTCTGGTAAACGCTTGAATAAACAAATGGATAGTGATCTTGAATCAAATAGTGAAATTGTATTAAGCAATTCTAAATTAAATGCACAACAACCACACGAACCTTCAACATCAGTACCACCCCCAATTCAAGTATTCAAATAGGTGTATCATCAATATAAAAATGAACAATATTGAACAGTGAGAGGATTATTCTAACCATTCAAAAAGAAACTGCTCTTTCTGGTTTCTAAAACTGTTTCCTATTTGATTTAGGTTGTGCACACTCACAAATACGATCATTGGCTCACACTCATCTTGATTGGGAGTTTAAAAATGCATTGTAAGAATTTGTTAGCTTTCGGTTCTTTTTTTCAGACACATGAACAAATTGTGGGTGTGGGTATCGGTGTTGCAATAGAATAGAATAGAATAGAATAGAATAGAATAGAATAGAATATTCACACCCACACCCTTTTTCTTTGCAAAAAACAAATTAATATCGTGAAATTCCTCCAGATTGAACATATTATTTTGAAGTTGTCCGAAAAACATAAAAAAATCAAACTTTCACTTGATTTATTTTGAAATAAATGCTTTCATTATTGTGCAAACATATCGATGAATCATCGATGGCAAACTGTAAAACTTGGAACATATGTTCCATTATTTTGGACGCTCCAATAGATAAATTATGTCACACCAATACTATTCATTCATCTTTCTGCATCTGATTATATATTATTTTGATCGGAGTTGATGTTCTAAAATTGCTTAAGGGGGAACCTCTCGTTAGAAACCTATCTTCTAAACGGTACAACCGATCTCAATGAAAATTTCAGGAAATAGAAAAACTAATGTAACTATCATCTGATACAAATTTGAACCAATCATTTTTGATAATTGAGAAGTTATACTCAATTTACTCTTGAAAACGGAGCTTTTGGCACGGAACATTTTCCCGATGCCCGGTAGCATGGAAAATATTGAACTTTATTTCAAAATGAAGAAAAAACTTCTGTCTACAAATTGTCGGAGCAGATTTTTTTAATTCGTTTTCGTTGAAATATAGTGACTGTTTCAACCTGAGAATCGCGAAAACTGTTTTGAGCTCTTTCCAAGATTTTTGTATATCTGAACAACGAATACATACTTTAAAAATCTGTTCCCACAATTTACAGAGAAAAGTTTGATCTTTCGAAAAAAACAGAAATCAGCAATATAGATTGAAAGGTGGGCCCGGAAAATGTTCCGTAACGGTCAGAAAAGAAGAAAAAAGTAAAATTGAGAAAAATGAGTCACAACATTGCGAAGCAAGTTCATTGTGTTTCAGTGTAAATATTTGTAACATACTATATATCATTGAAAAGTCCGTTGAAAGCTCTATCACTTTATGGTATTTTGGAGAAAAACTTAGGTTCATTTTGGAAATCAGTTGAGGCTGTTATCGAAATTTAAATTTATTGTAGCGCCGCCTACGGTTATATACATGAAGTTTTCACTATACAAAACCAAATTTCAAAGCCCTCATACAGTCACTTCAACCGCTTTAAAACATATTGTTTGATATTAAGATAGATTTTTAATGCTAAAAAAGAAATTTTGACGATATCAGTTGCTGATAACTGAGAAAGAAGCCACCAAAAATAGGCATGTTGCGCTATGGCTTCAAACAAACTCACCAAAACGGGACTAAATATGTTTCATTCATATATAATTAATATATCTTCTGAAAGAGGATATTCAGGGCTACACGAATATGCACTTATTGAAAAATCGCATTTTTAACAAAAACTGACTTTCTGAGGGGGGTGTCCTCCTTAAAATACTTTTATCCAATAGTACACACTTACTTAAGACCTTTCTCCCCTCAAAAAAGTCACTTTTCACCAGAATCATCGAAATTGAGATAAATTCATGGAGAACTAGCCCATCATCGGCTCTCTCATACGTGATAAAAATTTTTATTCGGCACCTCTTTCTTTCTAAAAATTTTGGAAGATTTTGTTCACTACCTATTCCAAAAACCAGCCGTTTTTACAAAAACCGAAAATCATTTTCCGTTTTTCTCACAACGTAGGTTCAACGACGTATCCCCAGCAGAAGTCTCTCTCAGTGAAAGATAAGGCCACATATTTTTTTTGCTTGAAAGCTTGTGTTCAGGGCTAGCGAATCTCGTGGTCCTTTTTTTAAAATACACCTTTTTATTATTCTAAAAGATAACATCTCTATTGTAACAGCGCAATTTTTAGGGAGTTTTTTTGAGTCATTAAACTTTCGCTTCGTTTTTCCCTTAAAAAAAAAAACTTAAAAAAAGGCCACGAGAGTCGCTGCGTTCTGACATGACTTTTCAAACAAAAAAAAATTAAATGTCTAAAATGAAGGTCCACAGAGAAAACTGGGAAATACTAAAGAGCTATTTTTGATCCTTGTTTGGTGAATATCTTGGCTGGGTGTGGGTGCGGGTGTGTGTGGGTATGGGTGTGGGTGTGGATGGAAGTGTCGAACTTCTCTTCACCCACACTCACACTCACCCCCACACCATCATGTTTGCGAATATCCGTTTCTGGTGTATAGTGTTTCGCAAAAGAATAGCAGTTTAGCGCTCATTTTCCTCAGAACTTGTGTACCGAAAGTGGCGTTATCTTTTCGTCCGAAAATGTTATTTTGCTATTTGTTTTCGTTCGATTTTTACTCCTGGGTACTTTTTTTGTCATATAACGCAATGGGTACTTTCTTGTGCCCTATTTAATTGTATAGTTTGTGCATGTATGAAACAATGTGTGAAACGATTGGTATTTCGTTGTGTGCTATTCGCTAAAACTATAGATTTTCTCTGTTGTCACGTACACTGCCTGTCCTTCATCAGAGATGTATGAAAAATAGATCGAAGTTCGTGAAAATGAGCAATAGCATTGGCGGTGGGACAGATTGATATCGGATTCGGATGGATCATGAACCAGATGAAATAAAGGCGGAAACTTCGGATTAAAATTCGAGAGTTATGTGTACTTCAAAAAGTGAATCATACAAATCAATCATCCTAGACTCTCTGAATATCAAAATTATACTGTGAAATCTACCATTTAAAATGTTGATTTCTATTGCGCGTTGTCAAACCAATAGGACATGGGACCGAATACAGCTCAAGTTTGAACTTTTCCCTTGATTTACCCTAAGAAAGTCGTTTTTCCTATAACTTCATTTCTATTGGTCACAACACAACTAATAGTATTTCGATGGAAGTGCAGTACACATTCGAGTTCTCCATATCTGAAAACCTCGAAGTATCATCAGTGTGACCGGAAGATAAAGCTCTATTTGTGGATCCATTAGATCGTGGGCCAAAATATAACCTAGTTCTCTGTAATTATCCTTGTCATAGGTAAGTCAACGTTCTTGTTTCTTTATGTTTTATATATCATTTTGTAGTTCTTGAAATTCTCTATCGAATGGTATATAATAGTTGGGGTTTTAATTGACTATGATAGGAAAAGTCTTTTACGAAAGTCGCGATGGGTCCATTTTTCCACCGAAAGCTGTAGGGAAAAATGGGTATTTTTGCAATAACTCAGGAACGGCTCGGCCAGACCTTCTCATCTTCGAACTCGACCGAAATATTGTCAAGACTAAGCTGTTTAGAAAGTTTCATCGCAATCTGACTCTGCTGTCAAAAGTTATCATGTAGACAGCCAACCGGACGGACGGACACACTGACTATTCTATAGTGTACTCACTTTTGAGTACACAAAACTATGATTCGGTTCAAAACTAATATCAGATTCAGAATCAGCGTTAAAAACTGAGTCGATTTATGTATTTTGTGAATAATTATGAGCAAAAAATGTTTTTTCGAAAAATTCCCGTTTCCCCCCCCCCCCCCCCTCAGAGATGGTCTGGTCAAAAATCACAATTTTTTCGATAACTCAGCCATTTTTTGACGGATCCTTCTCATCTTCGAACTCGACCGAGATATTTTCAAGACTAAGCTGTGTAGAAAATTTCATCGCAATCTGACTCTTCTTTCGAAAGTTATCGCGTAAACGGACGGACGGCCGGACACACAGACCGATTTTAGTAGTGTACTCCCTGTTTGAGTACACTAACAATGTATACGGATAACAAATAGTATTTGTTTCTCTCTTTCATTATTGAAAGAATAGAAAATATCATTTAGATGAAGGAGACAAAAATAAATGCTCTTTTTTTGAATTTTCGTTTGTTTTGAAATTACTATTTTTAATCATCATCTGGCGAGATTTGAGTTGAATTGCTTGGTTTTCTATCTTCAATATCTTCATGAATTCTTTATATCTATTGCATTAGAAATAATTTTAAGTAAGGAAATTTTATTATATCAAACAAATAAAATAGAAATTGATAAGATACTTTTCAAATAGTTACTATGTTGCTAGATTTATAGGTCAATACTTATTGTGAAACAAGAATGTCAACCATCTCAATGCATGCATTAGTCAGTTAAATAATTTACTATTTAACAACGATGATATTTGGTAACTCAATAAGCACGTCAATGTAATAAACTAGGATATTTTTGAAAAAAATTATGAAAACTCTATTGAGACTTTTGCCTTTGAAAAGTGTTTCCTCATTATATATGCATTATCTGTAGTAAAAGTTTCAATTTGATCGATTGCACAATTCTTCAAGAATTGCAGTTCTCAGATGTCCTTAGAACCAGTTGGAAAGATGGTAGAAAATCATCGTTTGAGGTAAGAAACTTCTGAGAATCGACATAGTTTGAAGTAATATTCCAAAGTCGACTTGTTTTTGAATTCTTTTGGCAAATAAATGCTGTGTCCATGGTTTTTCAGGTTTTAGTTTTCATTTAGATAACGCAAACGAATTCTTTTGTATTCAGTATGATAAGACCATTAAAAAGGTACTATTTCTTATCTATTCTAAACAATATTTTTTCTTTGCATTTGAATATCATAACTTTCTATGACAGCCACAAACAACAAGTCGATCTCACAATCTTATAATATTCGTCCATGTACGATCGCAGATGAGGAAAGTGCTGTTGCTGTTTGTTTAAAAACAGGAGATGCTGGTAACGATGCAACTTTGTTCTTTGATGACCCGAAACTGCTAGGATATCGATATGTTTCACCATATATTCATTTATCTCCGGAACTTGCTTTTGTATTAGAAGATTCAGATGGAAACGTATGTGGATATGTACTCGCTACTTTAAATAATGATGTATTTTACAAACAATATTTGGAGGAATGGCTTCCAAAAATGAAACAACTTTATTCCAGCATTCCGTCAGGTGAATAAAGTATGGTTCGTTGGAAATTGAGAGCTATTTGTTCAATAAAAAGATATGAAAATAAATATTTATAAAATACCCATTTCAAAGTAGTTAAAATTTTTTAATTTTCTCTTTTTAGTTGACGAAATAGAAAAACGAGATTGGCAAATTATACAAAGTTTTCATAATGATAATTTAGAATCATTGAAAGTTTTTGATGATTATCCTTCACTTCTTCATATTGATCTTCTTCCAAAAGCCCAAGGTTGATTAATATCTATTTAAAAACAAAATATCTACTAATTTTAATCTTACAGGAAAAGGTTATGGAACAAAAATGATACATCATATTGAAAGTGAATTACAAAGACGTGGATCAAAAGGTGTTCATTTAGGTAAGTTAAATCTGACTTTCATAGTGAATTTTTTTCTGAAGAAAAAATCATTGTATGTTTAGAGATGGCAGCAAATAATGACAGAGCATTTCACTTTTATACTAAGCTCGGTTTTACCGTTCTTGCTCAAGATCAGGAGACTATTTGGCTTGGTAAAAAATTCTCATAAGTTCGGATATTTTATTTCTGACTGTTCTGAAAACGATAACATATATCTTGTTTTACATATCTTATACATTAGTTTAATAGTAAAAGAAAACAAAGCATGAAAGTTTGTTTTATTTGTAAAAAAGGAAAAGAATGCAACGACTTTGCTTGAAAATGTGAATGCACATCACTTATGATTTAAATACATGAATACCGATAATGAAGTCACTTAAAGAGACAAGAACCACATTTCGACAAGAACATGGCACTCGAAAACAAAGAAAAATTATCGTCTTATAATGCATTAGAACACAAAAACAAATCTTCATATTTATAAATGCGAAAAACTTTTTTTTCTTTCAATCAATTCAAGTAGAAACAAGTTCTATAAAAAGGGTACTCTTTTTATAAATTATCATCTAGTCAATATGTCCCTGAAGAGGCCTATTTAAATTTATTTAGGAGAAAAGATTATGTGAACATAGTATAAAATATGAATATGTTGTTTTCTCAAGCTTGTCTTGATTATATTAAAAGAATTGAAGACGATATTATTTCATGTAGCACTTTTACATTGCTTCAAAGATAGTTTCATCATTTTGTTGAAGCATCATCTTAGGTGGATGACTCATAAAATGACCAAAGGCATAATTCGAAAGAAATTGTCCTAAACGTTGATCAGGTACATGAGGCTAAAGTTCTTCTATTTTGTTAATCTTTTTCTGAAGTTCAGTGAGTTGAGAAGGAGATGTTGATAAACTTTGAGCTTTTTTAATAGCTTCATTTAAACGTTGTTCAGTTTGAGTATCTTCAGGATAAAAGATATCCCCCGAGATTCTATCCAATCTGCCCAAATCCATTTTTGCAATAGAGCACCAAATATTAAATTATGATCATACATCCATAATTGAGAGAGAAGATCTATGATTCGCTTAATTCGTTCGAATTCTCTCAGTATGTTTTGTAAAAACTACAATAAAACTTGATTTATTCAATAATATTAAGAATGATTTCTTTTAAAACTTTATTGCAATAACCATGTATCATGAAAAAACGTGGTGATAAAAAGAAAAAATGTCATTATTTCATAAGGATGGCGAGTGATGATGAAAGAAAAAGAATCAATAAGCATAATACTAAAAAAATGCACGTGTAATATTTAGGGTGTGGGTGTGGGTGGGTGTGGGTGTGGATGTGGGTGTGGGTGTGGGGTGTGGGTGTGGATGTGGTTATGAACGTCTGGGTGTGAAGAGATAGATCATACCCACACCCAAACCCACACTCACACTCACACCCTCACACCCATACCCACACCCACACCCACACCCACACTCACCCACACTCACCCACACCCACACCCACCCACCCACACCCCACACCCACACCCTAATCAAATATGGTAAATTACTATTAACCCCAGGTGGACCGCTAGCCGGATGTCTCAAACCGATTGTAGCCTTAGAAAAAATCAAAATGATCGGAGTCACCATAGACGCTGTTCGTCAAATTGATAAAAACGGATTCACTGTGGAAATCTAACACAGCTTGCTTCTAGTGGAATGGCACTTGCAGGAGTCGATGAGGCAGCAATTGATTTTGTTCAAAAGTTGCCAGAACGTGTGAAAGATGCAGAAGCTTTACTCAGTGGTGATTTAGATAGAATATTGGAACGAGGTGCTTTGACTGGTCTTCCTGTTGGTGCTGTTCAACAGATTGTTAAAAATGGATTCACTGTAGAAAGTGTAACACAACTTGCCATGGATGGGATGAAAATTGCAGGTGTAGATCAAAAAACCATTAATCTAGTGCAACAGTTACCAGAACGAATCAAAGATGCACAAGCACTCATGAGCGGTAATTTAGATAGAATATCGAAACGAGGAATGTTGGCTGGCTTGCCTGTTCAAGCTATTCAAGATATTAGAAAAAATGTTTTTTTCTGTAGACAACATCACTCAACTTGTTGCTGATGGAATGACATTTCAGGGTGCCGATCAAAAAACAATCGATTTTGTTAAACAAATACCCGAACGTATAAAGGATGCAGAGACTTTACTCAGCGGTGATATGAATAGGATATTGGAACGAGGCGCTCTTGCTAGTCTTCCCGTTGAGGCTGTTCAACAGATTGTCAAAAATGGATTCACTGTAGAAAGTGTAACACAACTTGCCATGGATGGGATGAAAATTGCAGATGTAGATCAAAAAACCATTAATCTAGTGCAACAGTTACCAGAACGAATCAAAGATGCACAAGCGTTGATGAGTGGTGATCTAGATAGAATATTGGACAGAGGAATGTTGGCTGGCTTGCCTGTTAAAGCGATTCAGAATATTAGGAGGGACGGCTTTTCTGCAAGTACCATCACACGACTTGTTGCTGATGGAATGGTACTTCAAGGTGTTGATAAAAAAACAATCGATTTAGTTAAACAAATACCCGAACGTATAAAAGATGCAGAGGCTTTACTCAGTGGTGATTTAGAAAGAATATTAGAACGAGGTGTTGTTGCTGGACTTCCCATCAAAACTATTCAACAGATTGTTAAAAATGGATTCACTGTTGAAAACACAGCTCAACTCACCACTGAAGGCATGACTATAGCAGGTGTAGATCAAAAGACTATTAATGTAGTGCAACAGTTACTAGAACGAATCAAAGATGCACAAGCGTTGATGAGTGGTGATTTAGACCAAATATTGAAACGAGGAATGTTGGCTGGCTTGTCTGGTCAAGTTGTTCAAGATATCAGAAGAAATGGCTTTTCTGCAAACACCATCACTCGACTCGTCGCTGATGGAATGACACTTCAGGGTGTCGATAATAAGACAATCGATTTGGTTAAACAACTACCCGAACGAATCCAAGATGCTGAGGCTTTGCTTAGCGGTGATATAAATAGAATATTGGAAATAGGCAAATTAGCCGGTCTTCCTCTCAATGCTATGCAACAGATTGCTAAGCAAGGCTTTTCTGAGCAAACTGTTGCGAAACTTGCCGCTGATGGCATGTCTATTGCAGGTGTGGATCAGAATACAATTGATTTTGTTAGGAAACTACCGGAACGAGTTCGTGATTTACAGGCTATAGGAAATGGTGACCCGTCAGTTATGTTAGAATATGCTGAGTCAATGGGCCTTCCTGTCGATGCAATTAGGCTGATTGCTAACAAGGGCTTTTCCACAGACATGGTCACACAGCTAGCTCTAGAAAGTATGACCATGACAGGTGTCGACTCAAATAAAATAAATTTCGTTAAAAAACTACCAGAACAAATTAAGGATGCGCAAGCACTGCTGAGTGGCGATAAAGATCAAATATGTAAACGTGGTATGTTAGGAGACCTGCCGATCAATGCTACTCGCCAAGTTTTTGAACATGGAGTTTCTCCAGAAACTGTTAGTCAATTCATTGCCAGTGGAATGAGTTTGCCAGACGTTAATCAAAGCATGATTGGCTTAGTCAGACAGCTTCCAGAACGAATGAAAGATGCACAAGCACTACTCAGCGGTGATATTAATACAATGCTCGAACGTGGTATGTCGGCTGGTCTTCCACTCAATACTGTTCAACAGATTGTTAAGCAAGGCTTTTCTCCCGAAACAGTAACACAACTTGCTCTAGAGGGTATGACTTTGGCTGGCGTAGATCAGAAACAAGTAGAATTTGTGAAAAGAATACCTGGAAAAATCCAAGGTGCTCAAGCATTGATCGATGGTGATCTAAATGAATTATTAAAACGAAATACGTTTGGTGGTGTGTCTATTGATACTCTGCGCGAATTGGCTTCACAAAATAACTCAGTAGAAATCGTCAAACAAATCGCTCTCACAGGAATGGCAATCGCAGATATCGATGAGAATTCGCTGAATTTTGTTAAAAAGATTCCAGAAAATATTAAAAATATGGAAAGATATCTAAATGGAGATTTGGATCAATTATTCAATAAAAACATGTCAGGCAGTATTAATCAACTATTGAGAATGTTCAATGAGAACTCATTGTTCAGTGATAAAGAAAAAGAGATATTTCAACTTGTTCGTCGTCAAATGCCTGTGGTAGAAAACATGTTTAATGGTGATGGTAAAGCTGTTCTTTCGAATGCTTTAAATACATTGAATAGACAAGACAATAGTCTACGAGTAGGAGAGTTATTAGAAGTTGGTCTACCAAGTGCTCTTCAGCGTGTAGCCGATCGTGAGCAAGAAGCTATTCATAACTTATACAAATCAGCCTTAGATCAACTCAAATCTATAAATGGCGGCTTCAACGAACAGAAAATTCAAGTAATTCAACAGATTCCACAATCTTCTGACAAATGGAATACATTCGAAAGAAAAAAACATCAATTGGATGATAATATTTGTAGAATATTATGTCCAATGGTTGAACGTGAAAAACGATTCCGAGAAGCTTGTGAAAGTTTGGCTACAGGCGACTTAACACTTCAACATTGTTGTCAAGCTTTAAAGATGAAGTTCGAGGACACTCAAAAACGAGCATCTGATTTAAAAAGTGCAGTTGAGCGAAGTTGTAGAGATGGTAATTTTCTATTAAAACAAGCGATGGGCGAATTGGCCGACGAAATAAGTTGTCCTAAAAATCAAACTAAAAGTCCTGAAATGGTGATGTTACTTAAAGAACATTTTAAACAAACTGTTATAGGACCATTTGCAGAGCAGATGGGCGAACGAGAAATGGATCTGAAGGATACAGCTCTCGTTGATCAATTTACAAATGCTCTTACCTACCTTCAAAACCAACAGGGTCGAACTAGATGAATACAACATTTTACCTATGCTGTATTGATCTTCAAATCCTCTGTTTTTGAAAGAAACAATTTTCGCATGTTTATTAAATCGTTTCATTTCGAACGCTAATACAAGAAATAGTTCAAGTATTATCAGTTAACCTTTAAGAGCTGAATGTCCCTTCCAAGGGACATTTAAATAATTGTAATCAAAGTCTTATAAAAACGTTGTAGATAAAAACCAATATTTTTCTGAATTGATATGACTTTCGAGGCCATATCTAGACCAAAATGTAGTATTCAGGTAGCTGTCAGGCATCGCAAATCACCTTTTAGGACTGATGACTTTTTTCAATAACACTTTTCGCCCTTAAAGTTCTATCTATTCGGAAATGCAACATGCAGTGTAGTTTATTTTACATTACACTCTTAAGCATATCATGAAGCTATTCAATGTCAGCATTCTAGAATTTTGTAACCGATCCACTAACAGTTTGTGCCGTGATCAATAAAACGTTTCTTGGATAAGACATTCAACCACATAGAAGAATCAAAACAATGTATTTCCAACATGAAACTTGGCTCATACGCAGCCCTAGTAGGGTTTAGGAAGTTCCAAACATTTCACGAACCACGGTTGTTTCTTTTGCAAGATACAGAATGTTGAAGTATTTAGCAAAATTCAGCTGATTTTTGTATTTCGAATATCTCAGCAAGAAAGCATGCATTCTAAGTGAAAATTTTGGAGCATATTAAGTATTATCAAAATTATCTAAAGGGAAAGTTTCAGATCGAAGTCCCTATTTTTTCGGATTTTACAGGGTTGGATATTCCTGCCAAATGAGGTTGTGTAGGTTCAGAATAAGAGGAACGTAATTATTTTTAACTATAGTACTAGCCCATGTCGTGAAAATCGCTGCGATTTTCGCGATTTTCCGAAAAATAAACGTTAAATCGCGATTAATCCAAATAGGTTGAAAAATCGACGATAAAATCAGATATTATGGCGATATTGAAAAGAAAATCGATTTATCGTTATCGGCAAGGAATCGGAATGATTAATCACAATTAATCAGATTTTTTTAAAATAATCGAATGTAAAATGTATTATTGAGTAAATAAAATTTTGATAGAAATATACAAAAAAGTACAAATACAGTAGCTTTAGACATGCAAACACTGCACAGTGAAAAATACTGATTAGTACATTTCATGTACATATTATATCTTTCATTTGATTGGACAATCTAGACAAAGATCATTGTTCTGCACTTTGTTTTAATCTGTTAGGAAAGCATACTCGAAAGTTTAATTTGTTTCATATTGAATGTTTATGCTAATTTCAGGTATATATATATATATAAATTCGTTCTATGATGCGTAATGAAGTTTTCAGTGAAGGTTTAATGGTTATAGTGCACTCATACACTAGAGCCCGTCATAATCATATTTCATTCGATCAACATAAAAAATATTCAGTTTTATTATAAACAGTCGAAAAAAAAAGCCAAGACAATGTGAAATCATAAAGTAAAGAAAACTGATTTGAGTCAAATGTTTATTTCTCTTTCAGACTCAAGTAGTATTATTTGATAGGACAGGACCGAAGTGTCAATATGAATTTTTAATACAAGCAAACTTGTTAGGGGAAATGTATTATATTTCTTTCTAATATTTTTTCCTCGATTTTCAAGATTAGTAGCGAGAAAAAATTTGCCTCTTACTAATTTCAGGTGATAAAGGAAATAAAAGTAAATTGTATAAAGACTGTCGATCGAATATTCAAAGTAAGAAAACGCTTCTTCATATTGATTTACATTGTCATTGACACAGATAATTAGATTAGAATCATTAGAGATAAACCATCTCAACTGCACTACTCAAATATTTTTGTTTTTACTATAGATTCTCTTCAATTTGGATTTCGTTTAACAGCAAATTTGCTGGTAACAATTTGGATACTGGTGCTCAAATGTACCAAGTCTTAACAAAGAAAATTCTAGTAAAATTTTGAAAAAAATATAACCGAATCAGGTGTTTTTTCCTCATTAGATTCTCAAGTATGCTTCTACGTTTTTCTTTTTTAGACATTAATAATTTTGACAATGATTTTGAGAACGATCAACGCTGTCGATGTCGTCACTACATGAAAATTTGAGCAGCTGAGTAATCGATAGACAGTTTTAATGATTATGAAAATTAGAACAAAATTTATTGAAATTTGATATTCTTATTATTGAATCTATTTTGATAATTATAATTAACTTTTGATTATGGCGTTCAACATTATGTTTCATACGCATATATAGATTTCACTTATATTATACTTTCACTTGAATCTAGTATGTCTGAATCAGTTTCTATAGTTTTTCTAACATCAGCATGCTATCTTTCTGTATCTCAATGATTATTCATGTCTATATTTCTACCTGTTATTTATGGTAGTGCATAGATATACTAATATTCACTTTTTAATTTTTTTTTGTGGAACTTCATGAGAGCTTTGTCAGAGAAATGAAAAGATAATCATCTGATTTTTTTCCGTTTTTTGTTACTCTTACTTTAAGCGTAATCAAAGTAGTAAATGTTTTTAGATAAAAATAAATTTAACAAATAGATGAAGTTAAAAAAATAAGATTTCTGTGAAATCATGATAATGTCAGACCAGTTTAACGATAAAGAGTTGTTAATATGTAAAAAATCGGAAAACAAATCGCGATTTATCGTAATAATCACTAAAAATATCATTAAATATTGACGATTAATCGCGATTAATCACCGATTTTCCAGCGATTGTCAGGGGCATGGGAGTATGCTGAGGGTCCATAATCTCTGTTTTTCTAATTAGATTTCTAATCTCTTTCACACAAAAGGTGTAGATGTAGATCTGTGAGGGTGGGGTTAATGTTTGTATTGATCTGAACGGGCACCTACACACCAATACCCAAGACCAACAAACATTTGAGTTTAATCAATCTTTTTCATGAGCTAAAACCTGTTTTAATAGATTTCTATGCATATCATCGATTATAATCAGTTATATTGTGATTTAGAATCGATTAAAATAAGACGATTTTAATCAAAATTTAATCAAATTTGTAATCCAAAAATAATCAATTAAAATCAATTATTCAGTAAAAATTGATTTAAATACATTAAAGGGAGATTGTATATCTGATTAAAATTTGATTTTTTCTATGTTTTTTTTACATGGGTGCAGTCTTTTAACTAGGGCGTAGGTGTGGGTGATATGTGTGCGTGTGGGTATGAGGGTGTGGGTGTGAGTGGTGTGTGCGTGTAGGTGCAGAAAATCATTTACACCCACACCCTTCCTATATGACACCGCATGTACAGCTTTGATGGCCACACATGAGCAGAGGAAGCACTTCGAGAATAAAGCAGTTTGGCATTACTGATCGAGTGTATAAATCATTTTTTTTCTTTCTTGCCGGTCCACTTGAGGTGTTCTTCGTTCTTTATTCTAAGAGTCCTGAGATGCAATGTTTTTATCGGTGGCGCTGTAAAAACATCCAACGAAAACACAATTATGATTTTCATCGTATTAATATTAAAAAAAACATTTACTCACCAAATAAGTATATTTGACAGCATTCAGATCAGTGACGAATTCATCATTGGTAACCATTATTGAAACATACATTTGTGAAATTCGTTGTGAAATGTTCTTCGATAATGGGTTGTTTTGACTTACACGAACCAGATGATGGACGTGATCCATTCTTCTTGTATGCGATGGTTATTCTCCCATTCTTGTCCACTGGTGCCTACGCCTTTGACGCATGGTATCACTATAAGTATCATCCTATAGGACGTTCCTACATTGGATTATTGTCGACGATTGTCATCATCTTCTCCTATTTACAATATTGTGCTCCTATTCGATCTCGACGTTTGTTGGCCATCTATCATGTACTTTTGTGGATCATAACCGAAGCGGCTACACTAGGCTATTTAATCTTCTATATCAAGGAACACGAAACATTTAGGATTATTATTTATGTTGGCTTTTTCATAGTAGAGACTTATTTTACGCTTGGTCTCCTATATTGTCGAGTTTTCCAGAATCTAGAATCGAATATTATTGTCGAAAATAAGCATCTCTTCCATTTTATGTCTCGCTTAGAAGTTATTCTCACTATCTTCATACCAGTATTCATGAATACTAAATATTCATCGTTGACAAGGAATACGGTTGCTTTTTTTCTTCTGTTTGACTTTTTCTCAGATTCATACGGCAGATTTGAAGGTATTTGGATCAAATCGGCTCTATATTTGTTTGTGAGCACAGTCACAGTGACAGTTGCTACCGAATGGTTCTATTTCAATGAACATGAACATATTTATGAAGTGATTTCTCTCGTTGCTGAACTTATTTCCGCCTTTCTATGTGACAGCATTATTATACTACAATTTTATCGATTCCATTTTAAAGCGGAAAACATACACGATATTTTCGCCGAAGCCATACGCTATTTCCAGAAAAAAGAAATACAAGATAGAATCACTAGTGGAATGGCCACAGGAGTTGCAAACAACACTAGAGAAAGTTTCCTGAACATTGCCAAATATTCGATGAAGCGAGAAGATGTAAAAAACAATCAGAAAGCCGACTTGTCTGAACAATTTTGAAGTTTTTTGTAACTTTTCAAATAATTTCTTCGAGATTCCGTCCAAATATCATCATTAATAATAAAAACTTGTAGAGTTTGGAGTAGTACAGAACACAACCAATATGTCGCTTGAACTATTAGTTAGCTTCTTTTTAGGATTTAAGTGGAATAATTTTCTGAATCAAAATAAACAAGGAAAACCGCAGGAAGCTTGCACTTACCAAGTGAATTTTCTCACGTCTGTGAAGAACATATAATTCAAATGCACTTTTACGATTGAGTTCCTAGGGGAAACTATCATTAGAAGAAATAAGGCAAAAGCTAAACAGGTGTGAGTGTAAGTGTGGATGCAGCTGTAGATATGCTTTTCATCAACAGCAACACCTATATCTCATCCTTAAACATAGTTATAATGGTCTAAGTATAGGAATGAGGATTTAAGTATAGAAATAAGGATACAGCGGTAAGTAGATAAATTTAATGTTACTGATGTAGAGGGTCGATACGAAACCTTATTTTCGATTTGGTACAATGGTTTGGTACGACATCTGTCTTACGAAAACTTTATTACAGCAACCTAGAAATGGTTTGAGTCGAAAGTTTATTTATAGGAAATCAGAAAAAGATTTCGAGTTTGTATTCGTTGGAAGAATCTTGTTAGGTTTCATGAAAAATCTCTATTTCTAGAGTGTATGCAGTAACGATGTTTCATACTTAGAATAAATGGAACCTTTGGGTTTACTTTTCTAACTATTCAACACATTTACTTCTCTATCTATCACTCATCATTTTATATCGATGCCGCAAGATCAATGTCTAATGATGTCGATGGTAAAAAATAGTTCTTCGCACACTTGATTATTCTCCTGCAATCGTACATTAGCAGAATGTTTGTGCAGATATACAGAATAAGAGTAAAAAACAATATCTTCAAAAGTACAACCAGATGAAATGCATTTTCTTTTGCACAACTTCGACATGCGCTACCATGCTACAACCACTCACTATGCAACGCATGGTAGCAAAGCGTAAGGCTTTTATTTTGAGTGAAAGCAAATAAACAATTCGTTGTCGGAACTCTTACAAAGAAAAAGCAAGATTCCTTTTTTCTTTTTTGCTTTGTATGCGACACTCGGACGTGTTTACAGACTTGACTGAAAAAAGAAGAGAGAGTCTTATGGTTAGTAGCGGCATGGAGCATTTGCGAAAATGAATGCTATTTAGTACTGGTCTGATTTCGATGACTTGTCTTTTGATGGAGAGAAAAATGTAAGACAAGCAGCGAGAGAAAGAAAGCAATATGCTCGAGAGAAAAAATTTAAAACCGATGAGAAGCCGAAAATAGCAAATGAGAACGCAACAGATGGGCTGAAGAAAAGAGAAAGAATAAAAGCAGGTTGCGTGTTTGTGTACATAGTTAGTTCGTATCGATGAATTGTAGTTACTTCAGAAGGAATGACTTGTGTTTGTCAGTCATCTGTTTCAGACACCGTGAACGTAAGAAATGACCTGCATAATCGTTCTCCTTTTGCCAAAAGTTATTCCACAACACATCATAAAAAGGGGAAGAACCAAGATGCGTTACACGCAGGTTCCAATCTTTCATCTGTATGCTGTTTGATATAAATGTTTAGCGTGAGCTCGCCAATAACAGTATGTAGGTTGTGAAGCGATACTAAGGAACTGTGATGCATTAGTCGTAGACCAACGCAGATTTTTCTTTTTGAAATACTTTCTGTTAAGATACTGGGGAAAAGAGATGAAACGGAAATAGCCATGCAAAATGGGGAACGGTGCAAGCAAAAAAAAACCATTGGCGAAGCATCTGTACGGAGACAGTTTGTCTAACATGCATTCATTTAAACTTGCCATAAGATCCTTGGATGTTACTAATGCGCCTAGCAACAGCTGACTTGGGTGTGGGTGTTTGGCTTTATGTGGGCATGAGAGTGTGGATGTAAAGAAAGTTATCATCAATACTCACACTCATAACCATACTAGACATTTGAGGGTGTGAGTTTGAATGTGAGTGTGGACCTTCTCTTTACCTGCATTCAGATCGACACCCACACCCACGTCCGCATCCACCACCAACATCCACATTCACATCCGCATTGAACATTGCAAAGAAAATCGAATCATGCAGACATGCGTGATTAGGAAAGGATGATAGATGACATGTATAACCAAATGAATCAAGAAAACGGCTAGTAAATAAATAATTTTTGTGAATATTTGATTTAATTGTGATTGATTATTTTCAAAACGGGTGTGGGTGTGGATGTGTGGGTGGGTGTGGGTGTGGGTGGGTGGGTGTGGGTGGTGTGTGGGTGTGGTGTGGGTGTGGGTGTGTGGGTGTTGGTGTGGGTGTGGGGGGGTGTGGGTGTGGGGTGTGAGTGTAGGGTGTGAGTGTGGGTGGGTGTGTGGGGTCTGGGTGTGGGTGGGTGTGGGTGTGGGTGTGGGTGTGGGTGTGGGTGTGGGTGTGGGTGTGGGTGTGGGTGTGGGTGTGGGTATTAATACTCCGCGTATCCATATCCACACACCCACACCCACACCCACACTCCACCCACACCCACACCCACCCACACCCACACCCCACCCACAGATAGTCACAGATGTAACGGCAAAAGCGAAGTCTACTGTATCGTTTTCCTAATTATTAAAATGAAACAGTAGAAATTTATGCAGACAAATTTAAAAAGTTGATTTATGTAATACCTTAATCTCTTAATAAAACAAATATTTCTTGTTCAAGATTTGAATCCAATATAGATAATGTTAACAGCTTTTAGTTTTAAAATTCTCAGCTTTCCAAATCCGGAACCGGTTCGGAAATCGCAAACCGATCGGTTGGAATCACATGTCCAACCGGTGAAATTCCGGTGAAAAAATGAAGAAATTTTTTTGAAAAAACAATTCTTAGAAAAAAAATGGCTCCAAATATGAAATAGTTCAAGCGCATCTAGCGTCTGTAAAAGACACTCATCATAATGAATCTTTTTACAGAGAATCTCAGAATAAATAATGAAAATAACATGTGTTTTCGGCACTTCCGTACGTATTCTTACAGAAAAGCATGTCACACCTTAATTTTTACGATCAAAAACATGGTTAACAAAGTAGATTTTTCAAAACTTTCAACCGGTGAAGTTCCAGTTCGGTCCGGCGGGACCGATTCCAGCTCTGCAGCTTTTTATTTATTTTCAATTCTAAAAGATGTATTTCATGTTTATATGGTACCTAATAACTCGACTTTGAGCTGTTATTCTGAATTTTTTATCTATAAAATAACTATGTTTTACTATGTTTTTTTATTAGTCCAGGATTATCATGTGTATAATTCTTCTTGTACATACATAAATGTAGCTCTTTTCAATTATATATAAAATAACTTTTGTGTCTATTTTCAATACTTTCATTTTACATAAGCATTAACAGTAATCAATATTTATACATGTGGAAAATAGTCTTTTGCATATTTAGGAAGTCGACGACCACCAAAACATAAAGAATTCAGTTTTGCACAATTGATTCGTGTTGTATCTCTTGTAAAATGATGCGTCACTCTTTTCAATTGGTGGTAAAAAATGTTAAGATGAACATTATTATTCAGTAAACATATTCTTGTATCAACTAGAAATTCTTCAATATAATCATCATGAGCTAGATTTAGAGTAAGACAAATAAGATGAGGAAATTTAATGACCGAAAAATCTTGATTGTCATTCTTTGATTCTTTACATAATTTGTTATTTTGTGGTTTCGAATTTTTTATAGATAAACGTTTAATAAATGGAAACGATTGAGCAATTTGGAGAAAAAATTCATGTTCAAAAGGACGTTCATCATAAAATAATAGTTCATGAACATATTTAAATAATCCACCTGGAAAATTATTTGTTATAGTATAGTAATATTTTAATTTGAACGAATATGAATAGATATGACATAAACTATATTGTTCTTTTTGGAAATAATCAATATAAGAAATAACTTGATCATCTTTAAAATCTCTGAATGTATGTTGAATATCTTCTTTTGATGGTAGATAAATTTGATTAGAAAGATAAAGATGTGAGCAAATATAAAATTGAAAACTCTTTAATTGTGGCATATAGTTAATAATATTCTGCTTCAATTCATTTCCATCAACAAATGTATTTTTGTCACAAATACCAAGATTCAAAGAGAGTTTTTCTAAATTCGACATTCGTTGTAGATGTGGTACAATTACTTCATCATAAATATTTGTCATCGGTTTACAGTATAGTGAAAAACATCTTATATTAGGTATAGGTAATTTTTTCTATAAAAATCATATAATGAATTTGTTCGAAAAAATTAAATATTAACCAAAATAACCTACCTGATTATTGTTTCTTAAATCCGAAGGAGTAATAGAAAAAATATCAACATGAAGTGTGTGAAGTTTATTGAAACGTCCATCAAGTATATAAAGACAGTCGGAGAACGACACCAAACGGATATGCAATTCTAAGAGAGTTGAAGAGTTTATACCTGGATACGGATTTAAAAATGATAATTGTTCATTCCAAATTGAAGATGCACAAAAATTTAAATATTGTAAATTGGAAAACGTAGTAAAGATACGTGCTAATATTCGTGAATTCATATCCTTCGTTAAATTTACTTTTCCATATGTAGTACGTTTGATAACAAACTCTAAGATTTGATTTTTATCTATAGAAGTTAAACAAGATTCGCCTAAATAAAAAAAATACAAAGTCAATGAAACACATGTTTATTAGGTTCTATATTGATCATAAAA